GTCAGGATTAATTTTTTATTTGAAATTTGCAGAATAAAGAGGGGCTATCCTCTGTTACCACACAGAATGCAGAGTGCCTTTCTCAGGGATGGCTCTGGTTAAGTGGCAGATTGAAGATCTATTTCTCCTCTTAATAAGCAAAGGTGTCTTGAGAAGTAAAATGGCACCCAGAACAGGAAAAAGAACTAAGAAAAATAAATAAGGCATAAAGATGCTTATCTGGACTGATGCTACAACACCTGTTCCCATCCCCAAAAGAAAGAAAGCAAAAAATCCCCCAGACCACACAATTGTAGAAAGCATAAAAGGCATATCTTGGCCTTTCTTTAATACAAATGTTGGTTTAATTTCTAACTTAACTTGTGGGCAAATTTCAAGGTTGAGAGTGATAGTCTAGTGAATGTAGAGTTTACAGAAGTCAAATTTGTTTTTCACTGTTCCGTGCTTTTTATCAGCAGCTGCTGCTAGCACAGCTGAGTTCATAGAAGACAGTTCTCTCCTGAATTCTTAGCTTAAGCTGCCAGTGATGGTCTTTCATAGTTATTAGCATGTTCTCAAAGCAGTTTCAGAATGCAATTGAATAGATGGTATCAATAGTTAATATATGAGTATATTTAATGGTGTTATACTTACAAAGTGTTTCAAGTGAAAATTTAATAATCTCTATATATTATTATATTTTTAAAAATATAGACTTCAATGAAGTTTGGATCTCACCTCTGATGATAATCATTTCCAAATGCTTAACATTATGTATACTAGAAAAAAAAAAAGTACAAGATATGATGCAATTGTTTTATTCAAAACTGCCTGTAAATCAAGTCTGCTACAGTCCAAATGTATTTTAAAATCACTTTTCAGCACTGATTTGAATTTGTTTGCTTTTGCAATAGGAAATGGAGCTTGGGGCAAAGATCTCTGAAATAATAACAGAGCTGGCTCTAGATGGAAAGGCTGCAAAGTTAAATCAGTGCACTGTTATGCATGACCTAACTAGGTCTGATAAGGGCTGATGCAGCTGTGTTGCTTTTTGTAGACCCTGAGCTGATATCATGAGGGTATGCTAGCTTACTTTGGGTGAACTCAGGGCTTTATTTTAAGGAGTTGATGTGAATATTGATTCTCAGAATTGTGTTTTTGTTGGTAGGATTATTACTCTCGTTCTTAGACCAAGCAGGATCACAGCACAGTGTACTTACAAGTCATACAAGCAGCACTGGATAATTCTTACTTTACAAAACTCAGTGCTTTCTGTAGCTGCTCAGAAAAACTGCAATGAAACATTATTTCAAGAAAACTCAGCAAAGAGAGGCACAGGCTGCTGGGAGTGCCTGATGCTTCTTTGCAATGCTGGGCACTACAAAGAGTTGTTTTGCAGAAAGTGTGCTGTGTTTGAGGAGCTGTGTTGCAGGTGGAGCTACAGGAAGAAGTCAAGTGGCTGTGCAGTGTTTGAGTGAACGAGCAAAAGAGAGATCAATTATTTTCAGCAATGCTACAGTCTCAGACTCCCAGGAGTCTTGAACCTCCATTGTGGTGAAGAAGCAGATGGACTCGGAACGCTGCAGGGTAACTAGTCAAAGGACTGTTAAATTAGCCAGGGGTCTGTTAAAGATGAAGGCTGGAGGCACATCACAGCACATAGCAGCAAGAAGGTTCCTCTTTCTCTGAATTTGGCAAGTAGGACTGCTATATTTTACAGCAGGTATGGGGCTCTGGATGTCGAAGGCCGAACAACTGGTGAGGTATTTGAAGATCCTTCTGGGATGGTGGGGTCTCCTGAAACAACACCACCTGCACCCTGCACCAGGACTTCCTCTGTTAACAGGAAAAGAGGATAGCTGTGATAGGAGACTCCCTTCTTAAGGGGAAAGAAGAGTCTGATAGGCAGACCTGACCCAGCTGCTGTCTCCCAGGGGCTAGGATAAGGGACATTACTGGAAAATTCTCCAATCTACTAGGGCCCTCTGATTATTATATACTATTGGTTGTTCAAACTGGCGATAAAATAAAACAGGGACATCTGAGGGCAATCAAAACAGACTTCAGTGCCCTGGAGTGATTGGTAGAGGGATCAGGAGCATGGTAGTTGATTTCATTGATTCTTCCAGTAACAAGGAATAATATCAATAAGATTAGGCAGATCCATCAGGTCAATGCATGGCTCCAAGGTTAGTGTCAGCAGAAAAATTTTGGGTTTGATGACCATGGGATGATCTACTCAACACCTTGTCTACTGACACCTGACAGGATTCATTATTTCAGAGTGAGAATGTCTTTGTAGTTGTTGGCATCCATCAGTGCTGGTCACTTTTTAAACATCACCTCCTAAGGGCACAGGAGCAGGCAATTCCCAAATGTCGTAAGTCAAGCAGGTGAGGCAGAAGATGGGCCTTGTTGAACTGGGATCTTCTCTGGAAATAAAGCTAAAAAGGAAAGTGTATGCCCAATGGAAGCAAGATCAAGTGATTTTAGAAGACTACAGAGACGCTGCTCCCTACTGCTGGGAGAAAAATTCATGTGGCCAAAGGTCAACTGGAGGTGAAGCTGGCTGGAAATATGGGGGCAATAAAGAGTTTTTCAAGAATATTAATGGCAATAGGTAATGTAAAAATAACATTGACCTGTTGCAGGATGGTCACCTCACATCACAGACTGGGACAGGGACAAAGCAGAGGTGTTTAATTTATTCTTCACCTCCATCTTTGACATGAGTGGTGGTCCAAAGGGGGTCTCAGTGCCCTGAGCTGGAGGACCATGACTGTGAGAACGATCAACTCTCAGCCAATCCTGAAATAGTGTGAGATCTGATGCTTCAATTGGAACTCTACAAATCTATGGGGCCTGATGAGGGTTATCCAAGAATCCTCAAAGGGCTAGATGATGTCATTGTAAATCCTCTCTTGATGATTTTTGAGTTGTCTTGGGGATCTGAAGAGGCACCAGCTGACTGAAAGCTGGCAAATGTCCCAATTTTCATGAAGGGCAAGAAAGAGGACCTGGGAAACTACTGTCTCACTTCTGTGTCCGGTAAAGTTATGGAGAAGATTATTCTGGAAGGTATTGAAAAACACCTGAGAGACAACACAGTCATTGGTCACAGCCAGCATGGCTTCATGAGAGAAAGTCCTTCTTATCAATCAAAATTTCCTTTTATGACAGGATACCTCACTTCAGTCTGCAACTTCCTCGGGAGCAGGAAAGGAGGGGTAGACCCTGATCTTTTCTCTGTGGTGACCAGTGACAGGACCTGAGGGAAAGGCCTGTAATTCTGTCAGAGGAGGTTTAGATTGGATATTATAAAAAAGCTCTTCACTCAGAGGATGGTTGGGCACTGGAACAGAGAAGTAGTCACTGCATTAGCCTGACAGAGTTCAGGAAGTGTTTGGACAGTGCTCTCGGGCACATGATGTGACTCTTGGGGCATCTGTACAAGGCCAGGAGTTGAACTTTGATGATCCTCGTAGGTCCCTTCCAACTCAGCACATTCTGTGATTCTTTTAAAATGTAATATGGATCTGAGTTCTGTGGTCTCCTGCAGCCTCTCTGATCAGCCCTGTTATGATCTCTGGTCCCCAGGCTCTGGCCTCTTGGCTGGAAGAGACTGGCTGCCCTCCCATGTCTTTCAGTGTTTCTGTACTACGGCAACTTACCTAAAGATAAGTCCAAGGAATTTTAAAGCTATGGTAGTTTTGATTATAATCAGCATATTGAATTTCCCTGTGAAATAGATTGTTTGTGCTGTTTCAGCTTGCTCTTATTTCTGATGCCGGTGGTGCACTGTATTTGGAATACGAATGCTGTAAAATCTGAAAACTGATTTGAATAAAAGTGTGGAGTTTTACACCCTTGTAACCCTACATACTGATGAATAACAAAATGCTACCTTTTGCTACATTCATGTTAAATCTTTGTTTGTTACAGGACAGTGAAGATTCCTGATTCTGCAGATGGACTTGGATTCCAAATCCGGGGTTTTGGCCCATCTGTTGTCCATGCTGTTGGGAGAGGTAAGCCATAAGAGCTGTCAATGGTACTGGTAAATATATGTTTAATATCTAAATGACTTGGTTGAGATAAATCAAAATTAGGTCCAGTAATACATTTCAGATTTTTTTATTTTTCCCAAAGTAACAAACTATATTAAATAAACTCAAAATATAAGTTTTGTGTACTTATACTCCGTAAGTGTGGATACATCTTCCAACTCTTTTTTTTTTAACGTAGTTATACCAATGTAGGAAAGTTAAATTAAAGCTGTGCATTTTTTACAGATTAAGGAGTAGCTGAAGGATGCAATGCAACTTTGTTCAATCAGATCAACAAATGAATAGCTGTTGGGAACTTGTGTGTTAATTTGTTAGGTGTCTATGTGGTTCTGCAATGTTCTGAAAACATTTTGCAAATAAATGTGCTTTTTACAAATCTTTTCAAGAGTGTTAGTGGCTTTGTCTTAGTAATTGTAGATGGTGTATGTAAATACTATTTTGGGATGTGATTTTCAGATGCTTCCTATCCTAACTCAATGTTTTTGAGCAGTTCACTTATGCTAAAAGAAGTTGAAGCATTATTTTGTGCTGCCTTATGTTGCTAATGGTGGAGAAAACTAACTGTATTTTCAGTTATTGTGGGACAGTTGTGTCTCTTTCCCCCTCCCTACCTTTGTAACTGAGGCATGAAAAGTGATCTGCAATACAGCGAGATTTAAACAGAGTTTGATGACATTTTTTTTCTAGACTGTGGTGCCAGAAATTAGATTTTCAAAAGAAAGACTAATAAACTTAGTAGCTGATGTCATAATTATTTCTGCACCTGGATCTCAATTAAACTGCCTATCATTATTTATTAAGCACATACTTTATTCTGATTAGTCTCAACAATATGCAAGTGCTTGCTTGTGTGATTTGCTAAACCTGGAAGATTTTAAGCATATGCTTACTTTGCTGAATTGGGACCTTGGGGTTTTATGAAGAGAGATTTGGGTGGTTTTTTTTTGGGGGGGGGGAAAGATATTAAATAAGATCTATTTATATGTTTATTTTTAAGTCTTTTTTGGGGGAGGGGAGATTGCAATAGCTGGTAATACTGTAATTTCCAATTAATTTATTTTATATTACATTTTAAATGCAGCTTTAACCTAATAGTGATAATTCCTAAAATGAGGGAAGCTCATGTATATTCTGCAAGTTATTTCCTTGTCAAATATACTCAACGGGCAAGTCATGAAGTCGTGTCAAGTTTTCTATTTGTCAGCCCTGCAAATTCAGTCTAGCCTTTTCTTTCACAGCCCCTAGCTTCTGCAACCCAGTCTGCCAGTCTCTATGCAGTAGATTTTTAACTTCTTTGGCACCTCTGTGGCAGTATCAAGAGACATTTGGAGGCAAATGTTCAGGTAGCTGGAATTAAGGCCATACTCCAGCAGGCTGTCTTTCAGGAGTGAGTCTGAATTGCACTGGGGACAGCACCTCTTTTTGTAGTGCCTATTCAGCAACTAGATTTTCCCAACGGGGTTATTCAATTGTGAAAATAAATCACTGAACCAAATATTTATATTGCTTAAAGGAAATGTTTTGTTTTGGTGTCATGTTGTGTGTGTCCCCCTGTCCCACCCTCTCATAATTTAATTTGAGGTATTCTACTTAATTGTCTTTGAGATTTTGATTTAAAGCTCTAAGGCCCTCTACTATAATTGCATTGGCAGGGAAGATGAAAAAAAGAGCAGCATCTTTGGAAATGTCTTTGGAATTTAGATATTTCACTTCATGATTAACATGATACTCTAGAATCTTATACTATAGTCTTATACTAGAGTCTTATCTTATACTTTATGTATTGCCAGAAAACCTCTGTTTTGTATGTAAAATTGAAACACCTGAATTAAACAAGAAGCTCATAAGCTTGGGTTATATAAAAGTAGGCTAAGTTGTAATTAGTGACTTTCAAGTTAGAGCCATTTTATCCTTTTAAAGTTTTATTCTTTGAGGTGAATTTTCTACATTTTCATATTGCTAGTCAATGTTGTTTTATAAAGCAGCCTTTAGGAAATTGTCTGGTCTCTTTTATGGAAACATCTGCTGGCAAAATCCATTTTCTTGGCATCCAACTGGTCTACAGAAGTACTCTGTGGTCAAGGGAAGTATGTAAGGATCAGTCCGACCAGGTTCTGATTTTTAAAAAAAGATTTTTTGGACTGTAATCTTGAAAGGAGATGTTTAGAAAAAGAAGTCTGCTAACTATGTGGGTTTTTATTAATAGGAACAGTGGCAGCTGCAGCAGGTCTTCACCCTGGCCAGTGCATAATCAAAGTGAATGGAATTAATGTCAGCAAAGAGACTCATGCAAGTGTTATTGCTCATGTCACAGCCTGCAGGAAGTACAGGAGGCCAATGCAGGTATGTCTCCTTTGGTGCCCTTGTACATTTTCTCCTGGATTTCTATTTTTGGTCAAAGTAAACAATGTAGTGTTAATCTCTTATGCATATATCTGCTGTGTTTGAGTGGGGTGACAGGAAAGACGTGGTGAATAAAACTGAAGGGAAGCCAATTGAGGTGTAAAAGCTGAAGATTGCTCAATAGTAATGTTCAAAATCTGCTTAGTTTCTGCATTGAATTAAATATCATGGACAATTTTTATTATCTATTTCAAGCAATTCTGAAGTCCTATGCAGAAAGAATTTTGAGGTGTATTCCTATCTTGATGGAGAGAGAATCACACAGCTTTCTGCCTGCTCAGCAGCAGGAGGATGAAGTGCATAAAACCGAATTTTGTTACACTTCGGTTCACAGAGTGCAGTTCCATCCATAAAAGTCAGAGTTTCCATTGCATTCCAGTCTTAAGAATAAGAATATATTCAAGGACTCAAAAGTTCCTTTTTCTACATGCATTCAAATTTTTTTATCTTTCACATGCTACTTAAGGAGAAAATCTCAGGCTTCCAAGATACAAATTTAGGAAGAAAACCAAACCAAGCTGGATTGTGTAATGTAATTTTCCAATTCTCTGCAAGTTTTTCATAAACTGGAACCAATATTATTAATTAACTTCACAAACAAACTCTTCAAGTATGTGTTTACTGAGGAGAAAAATCCAATTAAAAGCAAGAGTCGAATCCTTCTCCCACACTTACAGCATAGTTATAAGAATTATATAGTTAGAACTGGGTCACATAAATACAGTCTGTATGAAAATGTTCTTGGGATGTTTGTGTTTAAATGATAATACAGCATTGAAATTGTTACATGACATATTGAGATCAAACTCACCTATGCTTTAAAGGAAGATTAAAGAAGATGTCCTGTTCACTAGTAGCAAAGCTGGCTAGAATAAAAGATAAATTAAATTCATTACAGCAGTTTTGTTCTCTCTGTGTATAAGTGTAGACTCCCTATGGATATTAGTGACATCCAAAGACCATTGATTAATGTTGGCTGGTGTGAATGCCTTGACATTAAAAAATTACTTTGGGCTTTTTTTAATCAACTTGTATAATAACTTGAAGTTTTTTCCTATACATAGTATTTATTTCAGTTTTAAAAAGTAGTTGATCATAATTCAGCAAATCACAGATAACTGAAGTTCCTCAGACAGACAAGAAAAACTTCATTTAGGATGTAGTATTATCAAAAACTATGGGAGAATTGTGTAGACTGAAGTAAATGGTAGTATTCCCACTGGTGAAAAGATAGCTAAAATTTAATTCCTTATTCAGAAATATGGTGGGGTTTTTAAATTATTATTTGGAAGATGAATATGGATTTCTCCTATTTTGTAAGTACAGTGCACACAGCCTATCATTTAATTACCCAGGATATTGCAGTCTCTCCTGTGGTTCCCAATTGCATAATTGAAGGGAATCTTTTGCTGTTTCTTATATCTTTTACTTCTTAGGGTAAGAAGTCTTCCTAATTGCCTGGAGCATGAAGCTTCATTTCAGATTCCTTTGGTCAATAACTGCGTAATTTCTGTTGGACACTGTTTATCCTCTGTCTTGTCTGAATAAAGAAAATTGAGACCAGATTTTGCTTCTTGGAATTACAATTTCTTTTCAGTGATACTAATCATGACTTATGCTTAGTTGCATCTTCTGTAATGATTTTGAAGAACATTGCTTTGAGTCATATGGCATTAGATTGGTTGTTAACTTTTGGAAAAGGGACTTCCAGGTTAAGTTGTTAGTATTTCCTATTAGATATTGGCATGGCAGTCTCAATGCTGCCAAGTAAGTCTGTAAGAATCCATAACTAAGCACCAAGCTTTGAGGTGAAGTGTGGATTTCAGAAGCATTCTTCTTGATCAGCTTCTGCACAGGTCTCTTCCAGCAATCAACACAGAGCTCTGAAAGTTAAGCTTTCTTATTAAAATATTTCATGCTGTTGAGTGAAAAGCAAGGCACAGATGAACCTAAGAAACCTAGAGAAACCATACCAATGGGATAAAAATAGAAGCTGATGTTGCATTTTAGCAAAGGATAACTGGATGTATGTGGCACTTTTCATGAAGATTTTAACAGTCTAAATGTTTGCTGTCCTTGCTTAACTTCAAATTCTTCTGTGAACTTATTTTTGAATTCAGGTTTGTCATATTCATGTCATTTTTTCTGCTGTAGCTGTTGCAGAAGGAGTGATTAACTAACTTGTCAAGTTTGTTTTGAAGTGTAAGGAACAAAGAGTAATCTGGGGATGCCATGTTTGATAGGACCTTTCACAAGGGTCTGATGGACCTGTGGCTGAGTTACAGACTGGGTAGAAGATGTGACATACATGTGGCTTCTTCAAAGGTTGTATGACACATATAAGCCTCTATTGCTGTGCTCGTGTGTCAGCCACAGAAGCTGTGGTTCTTTACTTTTGGGGGTCTGCGAGGGATGCTAATCTCTGGGAAAAAAATTATTATTACACTAGTAAAATATTTGTAATACAGGCAAATGTAAGTAATGAAGGCTGTAGTTCAGGTTCTTTGTGCCAGTGACACAAGGTGATGGATTAACTGGACATTTTCTGTCTTTGGTTGATGTTCCATAACTTTTGCTACCAGATTTGTGGATGCACAGCAGAATTTGCAAATCAAAAATTGTTTTTTTCCCCATGATTTCTTGGGGAAAAATATTTTTCAATCTGCAATTTGATTTGAAATGTCTTAAATTATTTTTGGCAATGAAGTAAAGATGATAGATATCATGCTGTCACAGACTTCGTATTGTCTCATGACAGTATATACTGAAATAAAAAATAACTTGCCAATATTCTTAGAATGGTTTTATACAATGCCAAAAATCTCTGGGTTTTTTTTTGTTTTGTTTGGTTGTTTTTTTTTTTTTTTTTTTACTTAGGCCTTAAAAATAGTGAAATAGTTGCTATCAGTTGCTTTTGCAAAGCTTTTTCTAGCTGTCTTTTTTTTGTTGTTTTTCTAGCAAGATTCTATACAGTGGGTTTACAACAGCATTGAAAGTGCACAGGAAGATCTTCAGAAAACAAACACCAAACCCTCTGGAGATGATGGAGGCGATGCCTTTGACTGTAAAGTGGAAGGTATTGATGCTTGTTTGATATTGCTGTTCCTGAGAATGCTATTATAATACAAGGAAAATGTAGGCAGTGGATTTATTTGCAGAGAGGAAATTTTGAGCAGATCATAAGATGTGATTTACATAAGCATTTGTTTTCTTATATATTATAAACATATAAATTTAACGTGCTATTCTTTGAAAATGACTATCTTTCCCATTTAGAGAAAATACTTCTGTGAACACTTTGGGAAAATCTGTTTGTTTTCATTTGTAATAAATATAAACGTAGGCATTACCTGATTTATTTTCACCCCTAGTAATCATTATGGCAAACTAGATACATTAGTCATTACTGCATGGGAAATAAAAACACAACTATCCTTCAGTTTATTTTCAGGCAATTAATGTTTAGATGAAACTGCATTCATCTGCAACTTGTAATTAAAGAGGCAGTTAATACTTGAACTGTGCATTCATAAATGCAGTTATTGTGGTTTCATTTCTGAATGTTGACAGTTTTCATAGTGATATTCTTCTCCTTTATTTAGAAATTCACAGTTTTCCCCTTTTTTGGGTCCTTCTTAATGTCTTTGGATTATAAATGAAATGGAATTATCCCCCTTAAATAACTGTTTGTAAAGAAGGAGTACTGCCTGTTTTGCAGTCCAGTATTTTAATATGTACAAGTCTACTGACTGTAGATCAGGTGTTCTGATTTTTATATTTTTCAGCCAGGTTTTTTAAATGAATGTTTTTAAATAGAATGATCAGAACATACCTCTTTTTAGAATGTTTGCCTGTGTCCTTTATAGTTCATTTAATGGCCAGGACTTGTCAACTGATTTGTGTTATTTTATTTATTCTAGAGGTAATTGACAAATTTAACACTATGGCAATAATTGATGGGAAGAAAGATCATGTAAGTCTGACTGTTGACAATGTTCATCTGGAGTATGGAGTGGTTTATGAGTATGACAGCACAGCTGGAATAAAGTGCCATGTCTTGGAAAAAATGATTGAACCAAAGGGATTTTTCAGTTTGACTGCAAAGGTATGAAGCATTTTTTGCATGTTGATGCTTATTGTGTTTAATACCAATGGAGAAACTTGTGTCTTTTTTGACTCTTATGATTATATGTCTTTCATTTGATACCTTATAATTGCTCACCTATATCTCTCTGATGTTTTGGAGGATGATTGTGTGCTCAGGAGGCAAAAAGAGTTATGTTGTCATTATAAATTGAGCCTTAAATCTAAAAAAAAATATTAAAAGGTCTAAAAAGTCTTCCACTCTCTTATTTCTAAATTATCATATAAAACTTGAAAAAAAGTCCAAGATCCACTGAAATATCTATAAATGCTATATATTACCTTCATCTCTTGAACATGCCTTTTAATTACTTTTCTCTCACCATTATAGCAAGGCTTCAGTCTTTCCTGAGCAGTACAGCTTATTCTGTGCCCTATTTCCTAGCTTTTTTAGGCAGAATATACAAGAAGATTCCACTCAGTTTTCTTTTATGCTTTTTCAATGTGTTAGTATTCTTCCAAGCCAAAGGTTTTCTAGAAGTAATGAATGAATTAATTCAGCAGATCTGCATAATATGTGCTGATCAAGTAAATACAGCAGATAATGTATTTCAGAGGAGCTATGGTGGTTACATTAGTAGGAAATTAGTAGTAAATCCATTATCAGACAATGTCATGAGAAGCCAAGCAAAAATACTTATGGGTATAATTTAGCAGGGAATAGATTTAAGAAAATCTCTTTGCATCCCAAGCTTCATTCATTGTTGTTGTGCACCATTTTCTGTAATGTTAGCAGGCTTTTCAGCTTTAGTTAAAAGATTTAATTATGATTAGTAAGGGGATACTTTAGTCAACTTAATCTCATTACATATTTTTCATGTTTTTATTATCTTAGATTCTTGAAGCACTGGCAAAAAGTGATGAAAATTTTGTGCAGAATTGCAACAGCCTCAATTCCTTAAATGACGTGATCCCCACTGAACTTCAAAGTAAATTCAGTGTCATTTGCAGTGAGAAGATTGAGCATATCTACAGAAGAATCTCTAGCTATAAAAAGGTATGACCTGCATGTCCTAAACTTGATTATATTTGTCTTTAAAGGAAGAAACGGGAATGTGGTACAGTTTGAATAACTCTTCAGAGTCTCTATGGCAGTGACAAAAATGTGGCTGAAAGTTTAGCTATTTTGAAGCATGAATGCCTTAATTGAGTAATTGCATCAATTGTTTTCAGGCTATTCTCTTTCTTATCCCTTTTTTAGACTTTGGGTAGTTTGTATTCTTTCTTGTTTGCTGTGTTCAGTTGTAGAGACAATCAACTGCACATTTCCGCAAAGGAGCCGTCATTCTTGTAAATGCCTTAAACAATACTCTAGTGAGTTTGCAGATGTTAACCAAAAATGTAGCAATAACAACAGAATTGGGTTGTTTTTTTTTTTCTAGTGCAAGACAAATACCAAATTGTAACCCTTTTATTCAACTTTTAGGCCCTAGCATTTCTGTTAATAGTACCATCTCTGTAAATTGTTAGCGTCACTTGGTTTAATAAAACATAATAGCATGGAAAATGGAGAAGGCACTGATTTTCATATGCTTGAGATCTAAATTAATGGTATGTGAATGAATAAATAGCCCAAACTATGACCTCTAATTGCTGTCAGTGCATTTTTCTATAGTTGTTTAAGTAAGCAGGGTATAAATGAATCAACCATTTGCCATCTTTTTAATGCAAAATCATTTTCTCATCCAGACTCTTAGTTCCTCTCTCATGGAACCTAATTGTGGGGAGGTGAATTACTTTGAAGCTGGCTCAAAATGACTGCAAAAAAGTGGGTCTGCCCTGTATTGCCTCATTTGGGGATCTGAGTTGTGACATTTAGAAACTGGTCTGTTCTGAGAGTTAAGGCATGAAAATTTGAAAAGAAGAAAAAGCAAAGGAAAAGGAAAGTGAATACAGAAGCTTCACACATTTGCAGAAGCTGCCTATAAAAGGCTAGAGGATGATTTTTCAGTTTTCAAAGGAAAGTAGGGAGAACTGTTAGGAATACTTGTAGCTCAGTATTCAGTAGGACGATGGTCAAAAAGCAGCTTGTCAGACTTCTCCAGGTGCTCTCTAAAAAGAAATGGAATAAATGAGTTGTGTTAATGGAGACATCAAAAGAATCCAGATACTGCTTTAGCAAAAATCTGACCTCTCCATTGTTTGCCTGAATTACAAACATCCATATTTCCAATCTGGTTACACTTTAAAATGAAATTTAAAAAAAACCCAAAAACTAATTAGTTTTCATATTAACAGTTACAGTTCAAGTAACATGCAGGTGATTTATATGTCTTCTGTAGCTGAAAAATTTGACTGTGATATATAGCCTCTACAGAGGAGGCCAAGACAGTAAATCAAATTTTGTTGTGCTTGCTGGATGTGAAACAAACAACCTCAGGGAAGTTTTCATAGTTCTTGCACTGTCTAGAAGCAGATATTCCTGATACAGACTGCACTTCAAATCTCATCTGCTCAAAAATCAGTAGTTTCACTGTTACAGCTTTTAATGACAATTAGTAATGCAGTGGATTTCAGGAATAGATGTGTCACTTCCTTGGCAAGGTAAAGGTAACCATAGTTACAGGAGACTTTTGGAGTGCATGAGCCCAGCTTGGCTCCTGGTTTTACTGTGAAAGTTCGAATTCTATAAATAAAATCTTGTGGATTTCTGCAGATCCTACTATTATTATTATCAGAACATTTTGCTCCAATTAGACCTCAATTCCAGTGCCATGAGTCCCAGATGTTTCTCAACACATATATGAAAAGAATTTTGGTCCTGACTTATGACCTGATTAAATCATAGCCAGTATTTGGTCTCTCTGGAGCAGGATGTGTGGGAGATTGAGATGTGAAATATGTACTGCTTGCAGAAACATTTTCATCATTGAATGTCCTTAGTATCCTTCTTAACAATTTGTACATTCTTCAGCCTTTGAACAACTCCATAATTGGATTTCTTGTAACCCTCCAGATCTTCTTGTGATCTAAAGATTTAAATGTAATTATTTCTAAAAGCATTCATCAGACTGAAGTAATATGATACCAAAATAAACAGAAATTTAAGTCCCTATACAGAAACATCTTACTTTGCAGAAGGAATGTGTCTTAATTCAACTGAAGGGTTAGTAAAAAATTGACTGTTTTGAATTTTTCTGACATTTATTAGTGAAGAAGCTTTGCAAGTTAACTTTGAAAATATTCTTATGCATGAGCTGTGGTTCAAAGCTGAAGTAGGTCTGTGTAATATTTTGACTAGAGAGATATTGTGATTAAAACACTGAATGCATCTTTCCAGAAAAAAACCTCCCCTGACCACAAACTGCACCGGAATTGACACATATTGACAAAAATCCTACAAATCTCTTTTCCAATTGAAGAGCTTGATCTCATTACTTGATTCTGACACAGATGTAGTTGCTGAGTGTTCAGTTCAGTCCTCACCATTTTGGGTTGACATCTTCTCGTCGTAAAAACCAAATAACTCTAAGCCTATTCAAGACACTGCACAAAATTTAAGATGTTAGAGTCAAGGAGATGTGGCTAAGCACTGTATTAGAATTAGACCATAAAAAGCATTCCTCATTGCTGAGCTGATATATAGGGGGGAAGAAGGGGTGCTGAGCTAGGAAAGTCTGTAAAATGGGGTTTTTGCAGTTTTTATCTATTAGTGCTCATCAGCTTCCTAATGTCACTCAAAATAGAAGAACGGTTGAGGCTGGAATGTATCTCTGCAGGTCTTGTCCATCCAACCTTGCCTAAGCAGAGCCACCTAGAGATGGTTGCCCAGGATCATCTTTGAGGAGGGAGATCTTACCTCTCTTCCCTGAACCTCTCTGAGCAACTTGTGCCAGTGCTCAATCACCCTCACAGTGCAAAAGTCTCCTGACATTCAGCGGAAACTCCTGTGCTTAGTTTGGGCCCATTGCCTTTGGTCCTGGCACTGGACAGCACTGCAAAGAGCCTGGCTTTGTCCTCTTCGCATCATTCCTTTAGGTGTTTATATACATTGATGTGTTAATCCCTGAACTTTCTCTTCTTCAGGCCGAGGGGTCCCAGCTCTCTCAGCCTTACCTCTCAGGAGAGATGCTCCAGTCCCTGAAGGATCTCAGAGGGCTCACCTCCACTGGGCTCTCTCCAATATGCCCATGTCTATTCTGTGAAGCCCAGACTGGGACCCAGGGAGGCCTCACTGGTGCTGAGGAGAACAGGATCACCTCCCTTCAACCCCTGGCAATGCTTCTCCTAATGCAGGAGGATAAGATATAATTAAAGAGGACTTCCTCCTTCTTGATCAGGAAATCCAGAATTTATACATTCTGATTTTGTCTTCATTATAGCTTCTGACAACAATTTCATGAGTTTTTGAAAAATACTGGCTTGGAAATGTTGACAGGTGTTTATAAATGTCATGAGCAGTACAGCAGTTTCAGACTTACTCCCCAGAAAGACACTTTTTATTATGTTCCATGGGAAATAAATTCTATCTCTCTGTTACAAAGCTATTTACTTCTTAAAATGTCATTTGCTTAAAAAAAAAATCCCTTAAAAATGTAAAATGAAAAACATTTTTCTTTCCTTTTTAGAGAAAGATGCAAATTGCAAAGTCAAGACATCTTAAGTCAAGGCTGACTGAAATATTTTAAGCTTTTATTTTCTAGTTAGGTACACAAGAATTGTTAGCTACATGCAGACACAAGAAGAGCTCATAATCAAAATTTGGTTTTCTTTCTTCTAGTTTTCAAGAGTGCTAAAAAACAGAGCTTGGCCTACCTTCAAACAAGCTAAGTCAAAGATTTCACCACTTCACAGCAGTGATTTCTGTCCCACCAATTGCCATATCAATGTGATGGAAGTGTCTTACCCTAAGACCTCAACTTCCCTTGGTAGTGCCTTTGGTGTACAGTTAGACAGCAGAAAACATTCTTCCCATGAAAAGGAAAATAAAAACACCGACCAAGGTAGGTCAATTGAGCTTGAAAGACCTACTTCCACTGCTTCTGATATAGAGCCTTAAAAGGTAATCAGTTTAGGTTTATAGCCAAAATATTAAAATTGAGGACAAGTCTTTCTGAAATCACCCTTCTTTTGATTTTTACTTTTATTTCACAGCATAATGGATAGTCATAATTTCACAATAACTTTCTCCTAAATGGCTTGACTTTGAAATGCAAATAAAATGCAAAATTAAATAAGTACATGAATTTTAAACAGAAAAGTATTTCAGTGTCTGTTAGGTATTTTACTAACTTCAAAATATATGTTCAAAAAATAATGATGAAATCCCTTTGAATTATTCCCAGGTAAACTGAATCCCATGATTTATGTCCAACATACCATTACTACTATGGCTGCCCCTTCAGGACAATCTCTTGGTCAGCAAGAGGGCCATGGTCTGAGGTACCTCTTAAAAGAAGAAGACTTAGAAACACAAGATGTCTATCAAAAATTGCTGTTCAAATTACAAGCGGCACTGAAAGAGGTGGAAACATGTGTCTGCCAAATAGATGAGTAAGTAAATGTTACCATCTGGACTTGCCTTTAATTTTTCCATAGAAGATAATGATAAATCTGGGCAATGCTTTTGTATAGCATAGGATTCAATGCTGACTTCAGACAGAATCGAAGTAAAGTAAAAAATTTAAGTGCAGGTAATGTTGTATTTTGATCTTTTTTGCAGCATGCCTGACTTCTTTCCCCACAGTTTGTATGTAGGTTTTTTTCCCAGTTTGTAGATTTTCTTTAGAATGAGGCAAAGTTAATTAATTTGAAGTGAGGAAAATATGAGGCACACAATGTAACCTACAATTTCACTAAGAATGAAAACAAAGGGCAGAGGTATAAAAATGGCCTATATTGAACTCTTCAGGTGTTGCTGAATAGTCCCACAGATGAATTTTTGGTTAAGACATTACTCACCTACAGGGAGAGCATTAATTTGTTAGAAATTTTTCAAAATGAAATTGACCTTAAGGAAGAGCTATGGATTTAGGGAGAGCCACCCTTGAGTGATTAGAACATTTGGCTTGAATGTGGGAGACTCAGGGTCTCATCACAGTTAGTTCTAATTCAGGACAAGTATTTATAACTTGCTTTCTCTTCTGCAAAGTAGGTGAGTTGACTTCTGGGCTTTCTACTTGGAATAAGGATGAAGAAGGATAAGAAACATTTAAGTTTTGAAAGAGCCCATATGTAATGCAAAAGTCAGAAATTAATTTTAAAAACAAAACCAGAGAATTTTTTGAGTTTAAAAAACAGTCTGTCATGATCTCCAGTTTAGATGTGTGTCATTGTTTCTCATGTTATCTTGAAGACTGTAGTGTGATTTGTCCTTTCATGTGTACTTAAGGTGGGATTTTTTTTTTTTTTGCTGTTCTCTAGTTGTAATAGTTATGTATTTGTAATTATTATAAATAATTGTAATGTATCACATACTGCAATGGGAATGAAAGCAAGAGTTGACTCGAGTATTTTTAAGAAAATGCTGTTTCCTGTTTCTTTACATAGTTCTGCTAATTACCACACTGAAGATGAAGTAAATTAATTAAATTCATGATAATTTCAGTGCTTGGGTGCTTTTAGAAAATACTATCTGTAAAGCCTGTGTTGTCTCTCTTCCTCATGGAAGTAATTTTAGTCAATATTTCAGGAAGTTCTAGTTGCTGGTACGCCACACCTTTCCTTTCCACTCCCTTGAGCTTGTGATGCAAAAGCACAGGAAATTCTGAGCCTTTTGTATAAATGTATATATAAATACACACACTCACAGAAAAATTGTGTACAAGCACAAGGGTTCACTGTTTTTTATTCCTAAATTTTCTGTACACTGATCTTGTAGCTGATCTTGTATAAGGTGCACAGATGTATTTAGTAAATTTTACCTTTGTCTGATTGGAAGACTGAGACTTTTCATGCTTTATTCCTCATGGACATTGAGTGGACTGCCAGTGAGTAATTACTGCAGAGGAAAGCAGTTCTATAGAGGAAACAGGATAGCTAAGAGACCTATTTAAAAGTGCTGAACAGGGAAAAGTGAGCAGTTCAGAGGTATGTGGTGTATTAGAACATGGTTGCAGATGCTAATTAACTTTTGAGATTTAGGACTAAAGAAACAAAAGAAAGAGTGACACAATAGATAAGCCAACAGCCATGCTTTAATTAGAAATTTTCATACTTAAACAGCTGGAAGGAAATGTTTGATTCTGTGCTTTTTATAAAGACAGTAGAATTTATTTTTTCTGTTGTGGCATAGTAACAATAAAATTGATGTCTTTTTTATTGAATTATTATCCTAAGCAATCCTCATTATTTTAATATTCTCAGGATGGATAATATGAACATGGTATCTATCACAATTTTTAATTTATGTTGATATCATGGGATGGAATAATTGGACTACTGAATGACTGGTGCTCTTTATACTTACTGTAGGAAAGGTTGCTCATGCATGTTACTAAAGGTCTCTGCTCTGTATTGAGGTCAGTACTGGTCTGTGTTTCAGCTCACAAAATCTTTGGGCAGTGTTATCTGCTCAACCTCTGCTGTTTGTTAGTGATTGAAAAACGAGTGTTTCATCTGAAGAGCAGGTCTGTGAGAGCCTATGGATTATGGCAAGGGAACATTTAAGAGAAGATTTTGTACTCCTAATATTGTCTGCATAAGAGTTTATGAGAAGGTTTGCTGATGAGTTTTGGTTGGATAAGTGATGTAGTACTGACAGAGAGAGAGAAATGCACACAGAATATGTATCCCCTTTCCACAGCCTCTCAAGGCTCCACTGTACTCACATTGAAATAGTTTAATGGTATCTCAATAGTTGTTTAGTGATGCTGCAGATACCCCATGTTGCAGCTGGGTGCTACACAGAAATAAGTCCTTTTTCAAATTGTTTTCTATATGGTGACTCTGATGAGTTCTTGGTTCTCATGCACACAGAGCTCTACCACTATCCCAGCACTTTTTTGGAAAGATGTCTTTTGGGACCATACTCTGTGGAGTGAGAAAAAGGCAGAGAAGGTTTTTGTTACTGCCATTTTTAATTATTTGACTAGCCATAGCAGGTTTTGTTTGTCAGGGTTGTGTTAACTTGGTTTACACATAGGAGTAATTCCACAGGTGAGGATTGTTTTTTTAAGTTATAAATTTCTCTGTTTCACTGAAATATTCTTCATAGAGACTCTCTAGCTGTTAGTTACTGTTCATGCATGTATTTCTCCTTTGAGAGCTAGATATCTAAGGTAATGTGTCGTGTTTAAGAACAAAAACAAAAGTATATTTAAACATGGTTATCGGGGAGGGGATGTATCCAGGTTTTTATTTTCAACTTCTTGGACTGAGTTTTTAAGAGCATGTCAGTGACTTCAGTAACTGCTTGCTCCAGAACTTGGTAATCCAAAGTTCCATCTTTCATTCATGGTAGTTCAGGAAAAGAATTTTCCTTAGAAAAAGAGCCTGCATGCTGAAAGAAATGGAAAAGCTCCCTTAGGATAAGATCCAGCTACCTTAATCAGGCTTTTACTGAGCTCTTGGCAGCAGTGACTAAACAGGCACATAAAAGAAGGGGATATAATAGTCTGTCTGTGTCTTGATAAATAGTTATTCAGGGGAAGATATTTTCTGGAGCTGATATTGCAGTTCATTATACTTGTTTCTTTCTCTTGGTTATTTTCTTGCAACAACAAAAATCCTCAAGAAGTTACTAGAATTAACTTTTATTTTTAGGTGGATAAGAGTGGGAACACAGGAACAAGCAAAAGTATAGATTTATCTTTGTCCTTATCTCATCTTTCAGCAGGCAGAACTAAATGGTCTTTTCAGAATGGACCTTTTGGTTTAAGAGCAATGTTAGAATGTTCTGCCATGAATTTGTCTAATCTTTTTTTGAACGCCTTAGATATTACTAAGAAATTAAGTTCTACAGGCATGAAGAACTGATTTCCTAGGATTTCTGCTTCCATAACACATTTATTTTAGGACAAGTTCAAAAACACATATGCTCTATCATGAGATTGACATTGAACACTGATGTAAAATATGGATCCCATCTCTCTTCCTGTACTCATGGAATTATGCTTGCCAATGATTAGAAATATTTGAGCTGTGATTTCCTACTGATATGAAGTGTTGAGGTGTAATGTAGCCCAAAAGATATCAGTCTAGTGGAGGGGTGAATTTAAATTCGAGTGAAATTATACCTGTATTACAATTTACCTTTATTATCATTACCTGTATTATTATTACCTTTAGTGTCATTTTTCTGTACTGCAGTTGCAGTATCTTTAACTATATATGGGATAAAATCTGTCTATTTCCATCAGTATCAAGAATTTCATGTAAGATCTAACCTATTTTTGAATCCTACCATGTACTTGACAGAAAGTTTGCCAGTTGACCATCCTGACAGCTCCTTCAATAAAACCCTGCTACTGTTTCTAAGTAATTCAAGGGGAGTAAAAAAGTATAGTTCAGTGTCCTCTCATTTCAAGTAGTTAGCAAGTAGTTTTTGCAGGAAAAATGCTGCTTTTGAAATCCAGATATTATTTAGAAAGTGTGATTTTAATGGAGTGTTTGAGCAATAGGAATTAAAGGACAATTGCCCATTATTGCTGTTCTGATCTTGAAAGTAAATTAGAGCATCTCAGTATGAATTAATCATCCAAGAATATGAATTTTTCACTGCCAGTATTTCTGCATGTTCTAAAAGTAGCAGTCCACACTGTTCTCTCTTCTTGGCTGGTTGTCACTTTGTGCTTGTCACAGACCCATGTATATTAATCATCAGTTTTACTAGTGATAATGGCTTAGACACTTTGAATGTCACGAAGTACACAGAGATGTTAACAAAGATCTTTAAAATGCCCTAGTAGAATAGTTTGTGGTGCATGCTGGCATGTCTTGTACAGTAGTTATTGGGAAAATACATGCTTTTCACAGACTTACAGTTACTTTCATTTGTTTTCTTGATTTGTGCTAAGTGCAGAATTCATATTTTAAAATAGTTATGTTCATATGCAGTTTGACCCCAAGAGTCCAAGAATATGCTGTATTTCTTCTCCAGCTGGAATCATTGCTTTCATACATGATTAAGTATTTGGTGAGGTTAATGGGTTTCACTGTTAGACTTTTTGACAACTGAATTTGTCACTTCCTTTCCTTGTTTCAGATAGATATTGACTGAATTAAGATATTCCCTTCACATAATATAGAATAATAATTGGAGGATGGTGGTGAGAAATGTTATTCTGTTGCCATCTCACTTTTGAAAAACATTAATTTGCCTTTATTTTTGTGTGTTTTACAGCCTTCTTTCTTCAATAACATATTCCCCCAAATCAGAACGTAAAACGCCTGAGCCTTTAATACCAGCAGACAGTGATAATGAAAAGGGTGAAAGAAATGGAAAGAAAGTCTGTTTCAGTGTAACAGGTGATGAACAAGAAGATTCTGGTCATGATACCATCAGTAACAGGGATTCTTACAGGTAAATTTATTAATAATATTTTTATTTTTCAACTGAATCAAATATGGAAGTTTGTAAAGGTATCAAGTGGTTATGAAGACTATTAGAATATGATTCTGACGTTACTAATGGAGGTATAACTAGCCTCAGGATGTGTGAAATAAAGTCTTATGAATACAGATTAATTATTGTATCTTTGTCAAATATGGATAGGATATCACAACCAAAGATGTAAGACTTTACTTTAGATTACCTGTCTTACAAAAACTAGAAATAACTGGTTATTATGTCTCCAACAACAACCAAATATCTACTATGGAAAGCAAAGTGATAGAGTCACCATTCTTCTGGATAAAGAAAAATATACTGTTTATCAACATATATTTCTCACCTTCTTTCACTCTAAGTACTGTAGCATCCACTCACCTCTAGAATTAGTAATGCATACTGTGAATGAGAATGTGAAGAATTTTGAAAAGGAAGGAGTACTTATAGCAAGTATAGTTCTTATATAGGTTATACTCTTTTACTTAGAGAAAGTTGGCTAACTACATGAAATAAATTTGAATTTTAGCTGCAAGTAAAATGAGGGTTCATTATTTGTTCAGTATCATAGTTCATTATCGTGCTCAGAAATTAGGATCTCAGTAGGTTCCTCATTTTTCTACAGAACTCTGTGTTGCTGAGATGTCTTTCCTAAGCTATATTTGCTTAGTACAGCCTGGCTGATATGAAGCCTTCATTGTAGTAGAAAGAGTTCATATCAAACTATCTCTGTGTTTACACAGATGTAAACATATTAAGTTCATTTTGGTCTTACCATGATGAACACACAGGAAAAGTTCTTGGTCCAGCATAAACACATTTAGAGTTTCCTGCATGTTCATGATGTGTCCGACTGACTGTTCATGAGCTGCTCCAGTGATGTGTCCTTGCTCCTGTCTCGAGGTTTCCCAGCTGGCGCAGGATTTGTACGTAGATAAAGAAGGGTGTGACCCAGGACATCAGCGTCTCTTTGTTCAAAACATTTTCTTTATTCTGATTCATGTCCTTTATAGCCCTTTCTGGCTTTGTAGGAATAATAAAACCTAGGGCTCCATATGCAGAATAATAATAAAATTTGTGCATTAAGGACAAGCGTTAGAGTGAGATTAGAGTGTTGTTTTCTTTGCTTAAATAATTGTATTGGTCAATACTTAAAATCTCCAGCTCTCATAATGCCACAGTGGTTACTATTGGAACTGCTTGGCTTATTTTAACCATTATAGTGCTCTCATTTTGTGTAGGGTCTCCTAAACCTTACAATACAACACAAAAATCATGCAGAATGATACAGCAAATGCATCTAATCTGTTTCTCATTTTCCTGTGTTTTATTTTCTCATGCTTTGCACAACCCAGTTTTAATTAACCTTCATCTCCCCTTTGGAGACGTTAATAAGTGAATAGAGTTAGCTAGAAAACATTTCTTAATATCCAGCCAGAAATTTTTAATACTCCCTGGGACTGTTCACCCACTATTAGGAACATGTTGTTACTGATGTCTTTTCATCTACTTAATGGTTATGATTGTAATTACATCATATTGCTTCTTTTAAAAGTTTAACTCGTTCACTTACCTTGTTGACAACAGGTCCAAAACGCATACATTAGCCAGGAAATATAAGTCTTCTTCCTAAATTAGTGAAAGGTCACTTCTGTATCTACACAAATGAAGAAAACAAACAGGGAACACATGTATAACTGCAGTGTTATTTTACAAATGGTTATGTTAATCTTGGTGAATGGGTACACCCAAATCATAAAACAAGACCCTATCATTATGTGTAAACCTCCCTTAGGTACACTTTTACATTATCTTACATTCACTTGGGTTTTTGAAGACTCCCTCTGCTGGATAATTACTTAAGCATTTCCTGTATTGAAATGAAATTATTTTCATATGGCTAAACAACTCTGAAGACTTTGAATTCAAATATATCTTCATAGGATTTTTAGTGCAAAAGTCTGTGTTTTACTCTGGTTTTCCTGCAGGAGTAGGTATATCTTCATGTATTTTCTGTACAGAAAAAATTGTTTTTGAGTGAAAAGAGCAGAAAAAAAATTACAAATTTAAATCCCAAAATCTCCCTTTTAGACCAATGTGGGTGAAATTTCGTATGCATTGAAGTTTTGACTGAAGCCACAGATGTAAATGTCTATACATCTCTAAAAAACAGAGCAGCTGGAAGAGATGGGATCATGAACTGTTTTGGCTGACAAGGAAACTAGTTAGTAATTTCAGTTTTGGTGCTATTCAAACAAATCAAATCTCTTGTAAACCTACAGTGAGACTCTGTTATGCAAGTTGTAAAGACTCAATGTTTGTATTAGCTGTGAACCAGGAGAAAATATGAAGTAACTAAAACATTTGAGGCCACAGATTCAAAAACTACCACTCATGCAAGAAAAGTTGGTTGTTTTTCATTCAAAGTCTGTATTATTGTTCTGCAAGTACTTGCTCACAGGTAATGGGAAGGGAGATAATTGGAGCATCTATTTTGGGAATCTGGTCTTCTGAGTCTTACCAGGACTGCAAATTAAATGAAAGCCTAAGCACAGGGATCTTTATTGCGTATAAAGAATTATACAGACCATCTCATCATTAAATTTAGGATGGGAAAAGGGAAAGAATTTCCATAACTCTTTTCAACAGAGCCTGTGTTAAAGGACATAGCTTTATTTCTTTTTTGTGTTTTGTATTTTGTTTTCAAGCGACTGCAACAGCAATAGGAACTCCATTGCCTCTTTCACCAGCATTTGTAGCAGTCAGTGCAGTTCTTATTTTCACAGTGATGAAATGGATTCAGGTATGTTTATAAAACTAATCTATGAATCCGTCTTCTGTTCCTTTTATTAAATTTTATTATTTTCCTTTGCCTGGCAGTTTTATTGCTTTTATTTTAAAAATTGCATCCTCCTTAGTAATAGAAGTTCATAATTTTGCTTCTGCCTAGCTAGTGCTGCACTTAGGAATCCTTCTGTAAAAGAGAGCCAACATTCCATTATCTCTGTGAATAGAATGTATTAGAGCTCCTGGAGTCAGTGCTTTTCATGTCTTTCATGTCTTGACAATGCATTATGTTGCACAAAGTGAAGAGCATTTTAGGTGAGTGTGGAATGCTCTCCTAGCCAGTGTCAGCACCTAGACTGCAGGATATGGCTGTGTGTGTTTATAGGAAGGAATGTGAGACCACATAGAAGCACATTCTTGTTTATGCCATGACAAATTGGATTTAAGTAATTGCAGCTGCTAATAGGAATGAGATAGAATTTAACTGCATGGGGAAGGAGGTCATATACTCAAGGACTAATAATAAAAAAATATTTGCTCTAAGCTGGGAGTTTATCATTTGGGAATGATTTAGGAAAAGAAAAAACTGAGCATGTTAGTTGAATATGAACCACCAGTGAGGCCTGGCCATAACTTTTATTGTTCATTGTACCAGGAAAGATATTTTCAGTTGCAAGAGGAAAGCATTAAGACATTATGAAAGGTATCTGAGATACTTTGTAAATTATGCAGAGTAGTGCGAATAAGACAGAATTTCATTTCCAGAAATGATACATCCATAGCTAAGCTAATACAGAGTAAAGGATGAGGGAAAACATGAATTGTTAATAAAAGAGGAAACCCAGGGTCTGTATCTTCAACTCAGGATAAGAATGAGCTGATATATTCTTGTGCAGCATCAAGCTGAAGTACCAGCTCAGGTGCCTGAAAGGCCATTTGCTAGCCAAGCACAGATACAGTGCTTTTGGTCACAAATACTGCTGCTCAGGGAAACTCACACTCTCTTCTGGCCTGATTTTCAGCTGGTTTCAAAGTTAACCTGGCTAACTCCAGATCAGGGGTCTTGGGCACTGTGCTTTGTTGCAATTAAAAAAAAAAAAAAAAATCAAGGGCAGAAAAGTACTGTTGAAGTGTTTCACTGACATAAGAAAAATTAGTCTAGATTAACCTTGAATAAATTTGGATCATAAATTTTCAAGTGGCTAATTAATGTCTGTAACCAACATCAAGGAATCAAGGAGGAAGATCAGTTTTAAGCTCAATTTTTCAACATTTTTTGAAAGGGTTCAAGGTATATTGCCTGTTGTCTGAAAGAGCAAGGGACAGGACAGTGACTTAAAAGAGTCCTTCTCCTTTGCACTTTCTTAGGAAATGATACAGTATGTGCTACTAAAAGCTTCATATCAAATAATTTGGGTATTGTATTTTTGCTGAATTACAAAAATCTCAGAACAATGCAGTTAGTAAGAGCATTAGGATTGTGAATTCTGTACAGTGCTTACCAAAGCTTCACACTGAATGCATTTCAGTGACTTTGTGGTCCACTATGTTGGGTTCACACTACTTGGCTATTTAGTCTGGAGTTTAGTTTAGTATGTTCTCCAGAAGAGAAGAATTGCGTGTTCTGGTCACAGAACAGTGGGATTTTCAAGGGACCTTTTGGGATGATCTGGTCTAGTCTCCCCCTCAAGCAGGCTCATCTAAAGCAGGTCTTCAAGAACCATGATCAGTTGTGTTTTGAATATTGTCCTTTCTTTTAGAGACATTTCTTCATTGTCGAGTAACTAATAAATGCAAAATATGTAGGGAGAGCAGTTGCTATAGTCCTGACAGTGCACAGGACTCTGTGACACATCAGTCTGTGTGCAAAGCAGATTATCTAAGCTGCAAAGGTTTTGGAAAACATGCTGAAGCTTCTAAACAGCTTCTCATTTTAAAATATTTTTCAGGTGATGAGCTTCCCATAAGTGTTCGAATCTCCCATGATAAACAGGACAAGCTCCATAGCTGCTTGGAGCATCTTTTTGGTCAAGTATGAAATTATTTTTCTTGGCTTTGATACTGATGTCTGTGCTTGAGCTAAGATGTCTTTGGAAAATACTTCTTTTTAATTTTGCTTCCCACTGTTTACTGAGATGGTATGTATTTACTCATTTTCCCTCAGTTTTCTGTAAATAGTCCAAAACTGCAAATTAAACAGCCCCTTAAATTTAGAGTAACATTCTCCTGTTTGTTACATTAACTAGAGCTATTAGGTAAGAAAAAATCCGAAGTTGCTTGTCTGTAGTCCACGTTTCTTACAGAAAGAATTTCTAATTGTTGCTGTAAAAAACATCTTTCTCACAGAACCTTGATCCCAACAGGTCGATTCAATCGTCAATCTTCTGAAAGGACCAGCTGTGATGAGGGCCTTTGAGCAGACAAAGTACTTTACACCAGGTCGAGGCCTCCAAGGTAACATTTAATTCTAGCTATGAGAATGAAAAGATAGCTTGAAGAGTACATGGTTGTCCACTCCTTGAGCTGGTGTTAAAGGACTGATTTTGCTTAATTTTGGTATATTCTGCAATAACTGATTGTTGCAGTTCATTTTAAATAGATATTATTTCTTAGTTAAAAACTGATTCCTTATATTTTATTGCATAATGTAGGAAAAAATTTCAAATTCAACTGAATTTTAGACTCTGAACTGACTGTTTTATTGCTGAGGTTTTTGGAGCAAGAAGCAGTGTTACTATATTGCATGTTTTTTAATACATTTTTGTCACAACTACTGAAGCCATTCCTGATATGCTTTATTACCAATGCCATATTTTTATTATTTTTGTAGTTATATTATGTTTGAAGTTGATTTATAAATAATTTGTAATTTATAGTCACAGCAATATTTATGCCAAATATATACTTATATAAATATTACTGATTGCTTAAAAAGAAATATCCTGTATGTAAATTCAGACACTCCACTACCACTTGTATGGTTGCTTAAGTCTAAAGGTATAAATAAGCTTATGGTAGTGGTCATAAGTGATGAAAAATAGAAAAGTGAAGATAATAGAATCTTCTTTCAGTAGACTGAGTTTAAAAAAAAAAAGAAGAAAAGTTCAGTGGGAAAATAAATGTTTTATTAATATCAGTAGTAAGGTATTGACCCTAACACATATCTTTTAGCAAAGAATACTGGCTTTAGTGGCCAGAGGGTGTTTTTACCCAAATTATGAGGTTTTACAAAGCCTGAATTACTACCTGCTAAATGAATTTGCATGAAAGAGCACATAACTTCCTTTTTTCCTTTCTTTTTCTTTTTTTCTTTGGTTTTTTTTTTGTTTGTTTGTTTGGGTTTTTTGAGTTTTTTTTTTTTTTTTTTTAAGTAAGTAATTTTGGTTTAAATTTAATTTTCTGATTGAAACAATTTTGCCTCTAGAAGTTCCAGGGTCCCACTTACTATGCACCTTGTTATGTACCTGCTTCAGAAAGAGTCATGTCTGGGGATGCTGCTCACTCACTCCTTAGACTTAAGCTGGGAGCTTGGATGACTTAGATCTGTCACTGTGGCTTTAACTACAGTTAAATAGGTTACCAACTCCTTGAGCATGAAAGCATTTAGGAAAAAAAAGTCTTAGTGTGACTTTCTCAGGAGGCTTAAACATAAAAGTACTATTTTTGTCCTTGCTTAGAGTTTCAGCAAGAAATGGAACCAAAGCTCAGCTGTCCAAAGAGGCTACGACTCCACATCAAGCAAGACCCTTGGAACCTCCCCAGCAGTGTCCGGGGCCTTGCCCAGAATATCAGAAAATTTGTTGAAGGTTGGTAAGAACAGCCTGATCATAAATAAGCACTTCATTAATGATACAGAGGGGGAAGGGAAGGGGAGAGGTAGAGCTGCTTCCTGCTGCTTCTAGCAAGATTTGTGGAACACAGTGTATCCTAGAGATAGGTTGTACTCTCAATAACAAGGTTAGTGGAGTTTATCACAGCTGTCTTGTACTTACCCTGTTGGCTTTAGATGCTGAAGAGAAAATAGTCTTCTGGCAAATGAGAACAAAGGAACCATATGTTGGGTGTGGTAGGTTTTTCAGTTGCTACTGAAGTCCAGTGGGCTTGACTGATTTGGTACACCAAAATAAGACTTTTGTTGAAATTAAACTATTTTTTCCACTGTCTTAGCTGGAGAGATAAAGTCTCTGCAGCTTTTGTTCTGTACCTGGGTCTTCTCTGTGCTTTTCTGGAGTCATTATCACTCCTTCTGCTATAAAGCCATAGTTTTCATTTAATCCATCCCAACTGATGGATGGACTCCTCCTCTGCCTCCCTTCCACCACTGTATAGAAGATAGCAAGTACTCTGCTCCTCTTCACCACCAAGTGACAGTGAGCTGAGGTTTAGGCTTTCTTCCCTGTCTTCATAAGAAAGTAACTGGCCTTTTCCTTCCAGAGTCTCTTGCCTTTAATTCCTGCTTTATTTCCTGTGCTGCTTGAAAAAGAAACAGAAATAAAGAGTAAGATTATTTTTATAAAAATGCCTATGCTAAGATTCTGTGTGGGAACAAAAACTTAGGACTAGCTTTAAATTACTTGTGTGTGTGTGTGTTTAGCTTCTTCAGTTTGTGGGCTAGTTGCTACAGTGTCCCTTAAAGAAACTGTTAAATATCTGACCAATGGGAAAGAACTTTGTGATATGTTTTAGTGTTATAAACTTTCAAAAAACAACCAGCCAAACCAAACAAACTCTTCCCTCTCTGACTTGGCATATCTGATTTGAGATACATCATATTTTCAGACACTGGGTTAGACAATTATAAAAACAACCACATAAATGTTTCTTTTTTTGAAGTCAATCACAGTGAGTTGACTCTCCAATACTAAGAATAATCCTTTTAGTTTAATGGTGGCTGTCATTGAGTGAAAAATTAATAAATAGTTTTGAATTCCTTTTTTTTTTTTCCTGTGTGTCCTTCTTCAGCTTAAAACAAATTATTTTCAAGTATTTATCATTCTTTCAAAGCCAAGGAGGAATGGAAATCTGTCATGAACCTTACTTACCCCTTTCAGAAGCTAAGATTAACAGACCGTTTACACATAACTTGTTTGCCCATGAATAGAATTAGTAGACCTAACCCATTTTAACAGTGGTCATATACCCTCAATAGTGAGCTGAGATTGTTCAAAATTTTGTGGGAGAGTTCATCAAAGTCCAAATGATTTACTGCCCCTTTGTAATATAAAAAACTATTTTTTACTATACTCAGCTCACTGAGAAACAACCAGCAGCTGGGTTTAACTGAAACCAGAAGAACAAGAAGCAGAGTTAATAATGTTTTTAACAGCTAAATTTTCCCTTTGTGTCTTCATTTCTTGATTTACTCCTTCCTGTCTTGCCATCATACATTGTGTTCACAGCTGGTCTGGATACCTAGGAGAACCACCAGTACTGCCCTGAGCTATTTATGGCTGAAAACCTAACACATGGCACAGAGAGTCATCTCCCTATTTCCCCTCTTATTCACTTGATTTAGGAAAAAACCCAAAAGGTGCCACCTAATATGACTGTTTAGCTTTGCTTTTGAGAACAAGTTGAACTGTGTCTTGGGATTTTAGAAGAATCTTCTTGTTTGTTTTTGAATAAAAGACAATATTTCAGCAATTGAGGAAAGCAGATACATTTTTCTCTTTTAAGAGGAAGTAGTCAAAGGATACAACTTCAGTCATGGTGGACAAAAAAAATGTAATTAAAACTTTTAGTAGTTATAAACATACTTAACCATTATTGCTCTGTGTAAGTAAGGATGAATACAATAAATTAATCTCCTTATTGAAAAATGACTCATTTTTCTTTTTATAATAGTATCACAGGATATTTTTCATTGTTCTGTTGCATTGCAGAATCTATTAGATTAGATTGATTAGTGCATTAAAGCAGGAGACATGGGAGCCTCACAAAGATGAAATGTTTTAAGTCCTAGATACTAAGATTCCTTTTATTTACTTTGTTTAATAAATATGATGAAATGGGAAATCTTAGAATGCCTTAAGGATGATTGCTCTGGTCTGTCAGTTTTCTGATTATTAGTGTTAGGATTGGAAGAACTATTAAAAAATCCTTTAAGGTTTGCACAGATTGAAAAAAAAAAAAAAAAAGAAAACAGAAAAAAAATCAGCCAAACCTTCCTTGACAGTAAAATTAAAATATAGCTGGACATTGCTTTGTCTCCTTATTTGTCTTATTGTCTTATTTGCCTTACTTGCTTAATTGGCCTTATCATATCATTAGAGAAAGAAAATATTTCAACAGTTACAGTAAAAGGCCAGCCTAGAAGGCTAATCTAGTTGCTAGCATTGTAGAGTTCTCTGAAGTAATATGCAGATTCTAGAAGGATTTTTCTGGAGCTAAGTAACTAAAGAAAAGAATGAAATTATTTCTTGGATTGACTTGGCTTAATAAATTGTAAAACCAATAAAGCTGAATATAAGTTGATGGCACAGGCAGATCTTTGAAGGGAAGTACTTGATTTTGGTGGAGAGGGCAGTAGTCAGGGCAGGAATTGGACAGCCACCAAATAGAGGAAGAATAATGCAGGTACGTGATTGTGAATCTGTGTGAGATATGTAACACAAGAATTGGAAAGCACAGGGGGAAAATACTTGAGTAGGAGCCAGGAACATTAAGAAGATGGATGGAAAGAAAGGGACTCAACACCAGAAGGGTATAAACAAAATAAAGAGCAAGAAACATTTCTGTATTTGCTTTTTCCTGCAGAAAAAATAGGTAAGATTTTTGATCAAAAAAAGAGGTGTTCTGGGGCAAGCCAGATTTCTCACCAGCTAGTCAGGTAACTACATGAGGAAGTGCAGTTATTTTTCTAGCACTGTAGTTTTAAGTTCAAACAGGAAATATGATGTAATTGAGAAAGTTCTCTTCTATTTTAAATTAGGAGTGAGATGTGACGGAGCCTTTTGATTATTTAAGGTATAAAAAATGTATTTCAATTTAAATAATAAACCATGCAGTGTAAAATCTGTCTTTTTGAAATACTTTCAGGTGTGAAAATAAATAAAGCTAAAATCTAGCCTTTCCTAGCAAAGATCAGAATAGCAGGATAATGTGGGTTGTTTTTTTTTTTTTCAAATAAAGTACAAAAGAATATTTAAAAATAAAAGAAAATGAAGTAATCTTGCATTACAAATCAGAATCTAAGAGAAAGTGCTAGGGAGTTATTCCTTTCCATACAACATGTAGCAATAAGGAGTGAGAACTTTCATAGCATTTGGTATTTGTTGAAAAGCAAATGATTGACATCCAAGGTTCACTTCTAAGCCCAGGTGAGTAGATAAATGGTCTAAAAATACTCTTTTGCCTGTGGGAATATTTTGAAGCACAGAAGACTTATAGCAATGATAAAAGAGAGTTGCTGTGTCCTGTGATTTCCCCATAAGCAGGAAATCATTATTTATAGGTACCTCAAATTCTTTTGAATTCAAAGATTCAACAAATCTTATCTAAAACAAGCTGCAAGTAATAGCCTCAATGTATCTAAGTTATTCAGCTAAAAGCTGCATTTCCCTACACTCTCAGTTCCTAAGTTATGTTCAGACTCCAAGACGCCAGTTTATTAATCTCTGTAAGGAGTTGTGTCTTCTTTTTTGAAAGACAGAAGGCTAAGGAAACAATCTAGAACCAGGAATTTTCAGGAATAACTAATAATTTTTCATGTTTGGGTGTTTGCATTTGAGATACTGTGGCAGTAACAGTGCAGAGGAAACAAATTACCAAATTCTATTATTGTTCATAGAGCCAGTTTCAGCCCTGCTCGTGCACCAAACAGGGCTTTGAATAGGACTGCAGAGTAACTTGGGTGTGGGAAAGAAGGTTTGGAAAGACATGAAAGCATGTGAAGTAGTGTTGTGTTCCTCCAAGTAGTACAACTGATGTGCTGAAAGTTTGGCACTCTCTAAGGTTATGGCAGATTTTAACCTTCCTGTATCTTGCAGCGCTGGTTAATATATTTAAATTTGTGCTCTGGTACATAAAGTGCACTTCCTTCAGCCTGCCTGCATCCTTTGAAAAGCAGCCCCCTCCAAGGAAAACATAAAAGTGTGTAGGGGGGGAAGTGCAAAGAGAGATAAGCCTGTGTAAATTAAGATTTTTTTTTTAAATTTGTACTTTTTTGTTTCATAGATTGTTTAGTGAAACGATATTTTTGAAGCAAAATAAAATCTGAAGGCTGGAAGTACAGTGAAAATGCTGTTGTATTTATCCTAAATGCTGTGGTACACTTTAAAATAAGGATAATTTGAGATTTTTGGGTGTGAACAAAAGAGTACAAGACAAGGAAAAGAAATAATTAGGATAATGTGGGAATCGGTGAAAACTGGTCTTGTTTTAGTGTTTTGGGACTGGAATTCTTAATGTATGGAATTGCTCTGGCCAGCTGCTACACATGTGCTCTGAGATAGCAGCTGCCTTTTCATCTGTCTTTCTCAGTGATGGCTTTTGATTATTATCAGTTTTTATCAAGCCATATGTACAGCTAAGTGAAGAATGAGACTCATTACTGCTTTGTAGGTATGAATCAGCATTGCCTAAAAAGAAGCTGGAGTTAAGCTGATATGAAATGAGAAATTGTAAATGCAATATTATGTTGAGGAAAACACTATTAACCATTACCTCAAAATATTTTCTTCTTTTTCTTTAAGAGGTGAAGGCGCGAATACTCTTGGCACTTCTAGAATATACAGGTAATTTTGCTTGTTTTAGGAGGGAGGGAAGTGAATGTGGATGGTTTTGAGATAATTTTTGCTTTTGAACAGAAGTACTGTGTTTACATTACGGGGGGGGAAACCTCAGATATGATAAAACCTGGTAATCAGCAACTTCATCCTGCTGTTTAGAGTAAGGATTCCTGAGGAACACAGTTTCAGAGCTTTTTAACAAACACTGCACATTCTCTTTTTTTTCCCTTTCAATGCAAAATACCTTATCTGGTCATTTACTCTAGATCTTGGCAGATAAAATAAGAACTAAACACCCAGCTTTTGCATAGTGTCTCAGCTGTCTGTCTTCTTTGGGCGTTTTCTTATTTGCTGTTTTTCTTTTCATTCCCATCTGTTTCCAGATTTATATTGCTATTTTAACCCATGCCTTTCCTTTTATCTATTTTTAGAGAATATTTAAGATCCTCCTTTCTGGAAGGACTCTGATTTTTCTCTGTATTAATTCTACTATCATGCCATACAGCTTAAAATACAAAATCAATGTGTCTACAAAATCAATGTCACTGAATCAGTATTTAAAAATATCTATGGCATGAGTTTCCCTTCAGTTTGTAGGTGCCTACATGTTCAAGTAGGCAGTCCAATTTAACTGTAAAAGCTCATTATTTTGACCATCTTACAGCACTACATGAATGCATGATTTCATTATTTTTGGTTTGACACACAAGAACAATTTTATAAAGGGGATTATAATCTTTC